ATTGAGATGGTTTTTGGTACTTATACCGCAAATATATATTCTTAAGGACATCAAGACTTAAAATAAAACTCCAGAAAGGTGTAAAATATGTGACGTTTAAATGTTTCAAATGCATTACTAGAAAGAGCATTAAATGAGTGGTTTTGGGGTTTGTTGTTTGTGCAGGTATCATCAGATGTCAGCTCATGGAGGGACACATAGAGGATGCAGAACAGCAGCTGGAGTTCCTAGCAGAGATCCAGCAGTCCATTGGCAAATCAGGGGTGAGAAACCATTTCAATGACTTATTATGTTATCTTAAAGCAGCACTATGTAACTTTTGCTCACGGTTCCCCCATGTGGTTGATAAGCGCAATTGTCTGTTACCAGTGTCGTAAATAAATTCGAGACGAGGCACGACATGCTAGCTATCGAAAGATCATAACGTGCAAGCTATCGAGACCGGCAACATTACCTTACCTCTCGGCTACCTTACGGTTATAAATTGTGAACCTGTAGTGTGCCAATGAACAACCGGAACACAGCCTAATAACAACTAAGCTCAAAAGTACATAACAGTAAGAAAAAATGTACATATTAGACTTACAAATCCAGTAGCAGGAAGGCTAGGTCTCTGTCCGTTTTGCAACCCGTTGCCTCTTTCAGCTCGCGCCACCGAGTGTAAGCCCGTCCAAGATTAATTCGTGTTCGGGCTCGTGTCTGATCACTCTCTCTCTTTCTTATCTTAGCTTCCTCCGCGATCACGAAACTTAGAGTCTGGTTTTAGCTGCTAGGAGGCTGCTCAGGTAGCAGCGGCAGTACAATTCGTCCGGTTAAGAGTTGTTCTACCACTGAAATAATTTTAGAGACATTATTTTAAGGTCGAAAAACTACACAGTGCTGCTTTAAAAAAAACTATGTGAGCTCTTGGAACAATGTTACACAGAGACTCTTTCCAGAATATTTCCACAGAATTAAATAAAAAGATAAAGAAAAGCATTTTTGTAGAATAATATCTATCTTTGATTCAGATTCAACAGCGATCTGGTTTATTAATCCACTGATGTTGTGTTTACCCATCGAGTCATCCACAGTGTGTAACAGAGCCTGTTTACATGAACCGAGACTCAGTTTAGCGCACGCTTAAACAAACACGCACATCTGCTTAGCGAAAAGCAGCTGCCACGTTGTATTTGTAGACGAACAGATGTATAACAAAAACAAAACTGCTTTCTTTTTTATTTTGAGCTTTGCCTGAGGAATTAAACTGTACAACATTAGTGAACAGATTCATTAGCACATGACATGGTCTTAAAGCACACAATAAACAGAATCATCTTTAAGGCTTGATTAACCTGTGTGTTTGTGTGTGTTAGGAGCTGTTGTATCTACGGGCGCTGTTGGCTGTGAAAAAGCGTCGGCCCCCAGACGAGGCGACCAATCTGTTAAACGACACGGTGGACACACACTTTTCCATCCTGCAGGGTTTGCCTCTCAGCGTTGAGTACTTTGAGAAGCTCAACCCTGACTTCCTGCTGGAGATCGCCAAGGAATACCTGGCGCTGTCTCCTGCCAAGGTCTTCCCTCCCTTGTGCTGCCTTGCAAACAATCACAACACACTGTATGCTGCCTAACAACATCCTAGCAACTGTCTTTTGTGCAGCCTTGATTCTGAGTGTGTCTTGATGAAGATTGCTCGTGTAGTTTATTGGCTGATGTTGTTTTCTCTGCAGGCTCCAGCGCCAGGTCAGCCTCCTGCACCTCAGCTGCAGCACTGTGCATCTGTGCTGGACACGGTGGTCAAAGTAGTGCCTGGACTGCTGCAGGCTGCCTTTCTAATGGCCAAAGTCAGATTTCAGTCAGGTGTGTGCATGGCTGAGTTCTATTTTCTGATTCGTATGATTGTATTGGTATCTTTTTATTTATTTTACAAGCAAAATCAGACGTCATGACATTGTTGGCTTGATCTAATTGGGTGAACCTCTCAAACTTCTTTCACACAGGCAGTATTATTTTAGTATGACTGAGATATTATGGTTTTTTATGAATATTTTAAGTTAGTTTTTATTTTTGGATTTTATATTTTTATTTTTATTTTAGACAAAGTTTTAGTATTTTTTGTATGTTTTTTTCATTTTTATTACTTATTGTTTTCTAATATGTCTGTATAGTTTTTATACATTTTTATTTCAATTAACAATTGAATTGTTATTTTAGTACATAAAGTTAAACTAAATGAAAATGATAAATGTTGCTATTTTGTACTTCATTTTATTTTAGTTAACGTTTATATTATTTCAAGTAACACAATTTTTTATGTTTTTAGTTTAAGTTTTAGTTAAGTACCGTATATTAAGACTGCTTCCAAGTAATATTTCACCCCAAAAATCAAAAGAAAAAAAAGAAGAAGAAACTATATTTTGGTTTTTTATGAATATTTTAAGTTAGTTTTTATTTTTGGATTTTATATTTTTATTTTTATTTTAGACAAAGTTTTAGTATTTTTTGTATGTTTTTTTCATTTTTATTACTTATTGTTTTCTAATATGTCTGTATAGTTTTTATAAATTATTTCAATTAACAATTGAATTGTTATTTTAGTACATAAAGTTAAACTAAATGAAAATGATAAATGTTGCTATTTTGTACTTCATTTTATTTTAGTTAACGTTTATATTATTTCAAGTAACACAATTTTTTATGTTTTTAGTTTAAGTTTTAGTTAAGTACCGTATATTAAGACTGCTTCCAAGTAATATTTCACCCCAAAAATCAAAAGAAAAAAAATAAGAAGAAACTATATTTTGGTTTATATATAGTTTCTTCTTAAGAGAAGAAACTATATATCTTCCCCCCCAAAAAATCTAAAAAAAGCAAACAAACAAACAAAAAATTATTCTCATTACTGTAATGGGGGAAATAATCATATATTGTTTAAATTGCAAAGTGCTTTATACAGCATTTGTTGTCTTGTTAATTTAAATAAATTTTACAGATGATAATAATGGGAAGTAATAATAATAATAATAATAAAACACTAAAAAAATAAATTATTTTATCATGCAAATAATAATGTTACAATGCAAAAATGGTCCAATCACTTTTTTTAATATAAGATATAATTTCTTATTTTTGGCCGTGTTAATTTAAATAAAACTGTTATTTTACAGATGATAATAATGGGAAGTAATAATAATAATAATAATAAAACACTAAAAAATAAATTATTTTATCATGCAAATAATAATGTTACAATGCAAAAATGGTCCAATCACTTTTTTTAATATAAGATATAATTTCTTATTTTTGGCCAATTTATTCAGTTAGCCAGGTTTATGCTCTCTTCATATGTTGTCCCCCTACAGGAGATATCGAGGCGGCCCAGAGCAGCCTGCAGCACTGTTTGGATCAGAACCCGGCCCATGCTGACGCCCATCTCCTCATGGCTCAGATCCATCTCATGCAGGGCAACTTCAAGCTCTCCTCCCAATCTTTGGAACTCTGCCTCAGCCACAACTTTGAGGTGACACAAAACCACTGCCAGCCATACTGAACTGCAGAAGGAAACCAGTTTAGATGTATTGATTTGATGGGACTGAATATGTGGTTTGTTTGTGCTAAGATCCGCGAGCATCCTCTGTATCACCTGATAAAAGCTCAGGCTCAAAGGAAGATGGGGCAGCTTCAGGAGGCCATTCAGACGCTGCAGATGGCCATGAGTCTGTGTGCCGTGAAGAGAATGGGCTCCTCAACCAAAAGACAGAGTAAGAGAGTTGAGCTCAGCTCGGCCGACTGCGTATCTGTGTTCCTGGAACTAGCTGAGTCTCTGTGGCTCAATGGAGAACAGGTTAGCGGCTAACGTTAAAACTGTTTTCCCCCAAACATTTCTTCATTTCCTTAAAGGAATAGTTCACCCAAAAATGAAAAGTTGCTGAAAATTTGCTCACTCTCAGGCCATCCAAGATAAGTTTGTTTCTTTATCAGAACAGATTTGGAGAAATGTAGCATGCTCACCAATGGATCCTCAGCAGTGAATGGGTGCCGTCAGAATGAGAGTCCAAACAGCTGATAAAAACAGCACAATAATTTACAAGTAATCCACACAACAGTAGTCCATAAATTAACATCTTGTGAAGCCAAAAGCTGTGTGTTTGTAAGAAACAAGTCCATAATGAACCTGTGCTACTGGCCATAATTCAGAATAATGCTTCTTCCAGTGAAAAGTCTATCCCTTGTTGTCCTCTTATGTCAGAATCCATTGACATATTTAATTAGAACTGTTTTGGGCTGTTTTCACTAGTAAATGGTGCTTGACCTGTGCATATTTCTCTCCTGATTCAGACAGGACAACTTTTTCACTATAGAAAGCAGTATTATGGATAGAGGACTCGTATTTTATCTGGAAGCAACATTTTGAAGTTAAAAATGTGTTAATGATGGATTTGCTTATTATAAACATGCAGCTTTTCACTTCACTAGACGTTAATTGATGGACTGGAGTGGTGTGGATTACTTGTGGATTATTGTGATGTTTTTATCAGCTGTTTGGACGCTCATTCTGACGGCACCCATTCACTGCAGAGGATCCACTGGTGAGCAAGTGATGCAATGCTACATTTCTACAAATCTGTTCTGATGGCGAAACAAACTCATCTATCTTGAATGGCTGGAGTGTGAGTAAATTTGAGCATTTTTTTCATTTTTGAGTGAACTATTCCTTTAATAAATCTTCACTATTTAATAACATTGTGTGGTTTATTAGTGTTATTTTGGTCTGTATTGTAGTAAAATTAATATTATGTTTGCTAGTGCTTTGTTTTTGGGTTTAAAAAAGTTGTTCTGAATTCCAGCACGAGGCAGCTAAAATGATGCAGGATGCCATAAATGAGTTCACTGGCACTCCAGAAGAGCTTCGAGTTACTATTGCCAATGCAGACCTGGCGCTAATGCGAGGAGATACGGAGCTGGCACTGAGCATGCTCAGAAACATCACACCAGAGCAGCCCTACTATATACAGGCCAAAGAAAAAATGGCAGACATCTACCTGAACCACAGGAAAGAGAAACGCCTTTACGTGAGCTGCTATAGGTAATGCATTTTCATTTGTCAAATTTACTCCTCATATTCACTACATGTATTATAGCTTACAGAATATGTTTTTCACAGTATATGGGTTAATATCATAAATTCATGTCCAGGTTACATTTTACCTTAAAATCAAAACAATATGTGACCCTGGAGCACAAAACCAGTCTTAAGTAGCACAGGTATATTTGTAACAATAGCCAAAAATACATTGTATGGGTCAAAATTATCGATTTTTCTTTTATGCCAAAAATCATTAGGAAATTAAGTAAAAAATTATGTTCCATGAAGATATTTTGTAAATTTCCTACCATAAATATATCAAAACTTAATTTTTGATTAGTAATATGCATTGCTAAGGACTTCATTTGGACAACTTTAAAGATGATTTTCTCAATATTTAGATTTTTTTTGCACCCTCAGATTCCAGATTTTCAAATGGTTGTATCTCGGCCAAATATTGTCATATGCTAACAAACCATACTTTCAGCTTTCAGATGATGTATAAATCTCAATTTCGAAAAATTGACCCTTATGACTGGTTTTGTGGTATAGGGTCACATATACTTGACATAAAACGTATGCTACATAATTATTGCATAATAATAATACATAATTACTATATTACATGATATTTTTTTTTTTGCATATTCAACTTAATATTTCATGACAATCACATTTTCCCTAAAATATTATAACTGTAACTGTAATTCATCAAACAAACTAATTTGTGTGGTAATAGTGATAGTGTTTAAGTGACCTGTTTGTTTAGGTGTGTAACACAAGGCCTGCCTCTCTAGGTTGGTATTTATATGTGTTGACAAGCTTTAACGCGAGCTCTGATACACCTGTGCAAACAATCATCAGACACTTGTATTCATGCAGAACATTATTGTATCTGTTCTCATCAGGGATTTGGTGGACAAATTGCCAAGCCCTCATACCTTCCTGTTACTCGGCGATGCCTACATGACCATTCAGGAGGTGGGAGAGATTCTAGTTGTTTATTCTAATGTTTACAATTGTGTTGAATGTCGCAGTTAGCAAAGATCTTTGTTTAGAAACTCAAATATGTGTTTTTTGTTTAATATGATGTCTCTCTCAATCCCCACGCAAATATTTACTACACAGTGTAAACAGTGATTCATTATCTGACTGGAAAATTCATTGAAATTCCAGAACCCTTTTTTTACAGGGTTCCATTAAGGTTTTTTTATTTTTATTTAATTTTAACATTTTTATCATTACAGTTTATTATTATAAAAAATAATTTCTACTTTAATTCTCATTGCTCTCACTGGTGATTATTTTTCCATTTAAATCAGCAATTTAAAGGCAATACAACAAATTCTATATATAATAATGGTCTAAAAATACTATACAAATAAAATATATATATTTTTGGCATAACAATTTTATTTTATTGTTATGTATATATTTATATGTTTGTTTATTTTTTAATTTTTTATTTATTTGCATTATGGTAATGAGAACTACATGGAAAATGTGCTAAGTTATGTAAATATTTAAGCAAATTATATATATATGTATATATATATATATGTGTGTGTGTGTGTATATGTATGCATATATATATGTGTGTGTATATGTATGCATATGTATATATATATGTATATATATATGTATATATATATATATATATATGTGTATGTGTGTGTGTAATACTGTTAAAAATATGTAAATGTAATATTTCCACCTAAACATTGTATCTGTCATGTCTAATGAGTCCTTAACTTTCAGATGGACATATTAATTTTTTGTCATCACATTGGTGCTTGTGTATGAAAATAATGTTCTCTGCTGACAGCCGGAGCTGGCCATTGAGGTGTATGAACAAGCCCTGAAGAAAAACCCTAAAGATGGAGCTGTGGCCAGTAAGATTGGAAAAGCACTTGTCAAGACCCACAACTATGTGAAGGTAAGTGAAGAAGAGTCTTTGCAATAATATCTCTTTTAAACCTAAAGAGTGTGAGTTTTCAAAGTGGGTTTTTCAAGAAGCTAATTTTGAAAGGAGTACACTACCAGTCAAAAGTTTTTGAAACAGTAAGATTTTAAATGTTTTTTAAAGAAGACTCTTCTTCTCACCAAGCCTGCATTTATTTGATCCAAAGTACAGGAAAAAACAGGAAAATTTGGAAATATTTTTACTATTTAAAATAACTGTTTTCTATTTGAATATAGTTTAAAATGTAATTTATTCCTGTGATTTCAAAGCTGAATTTTTAGCATCATTACTCCAGTCACGTGATCCTTCAGAAATCATTCTAATATGCTAAGCCTTTGAATGGTATTGTTACGGGGCGACAGAGACGCGAGACGTGCGGATCCATCTGCATGCTTTTATTTAAGAGACGTGGTCATAACAGGCATGGGTCAAACAATGGCAAACAGGCTATCACTGACTAGCGACATGCGCATACAATATTCGGCGATCTGAACGAGGAAGTCCAAGGCTTATAAAGCGCGTCTGATTAGATTCAGCTGTGTGTAATCAGTGCATTCAGCTGTGTGTGTGTAATCAGTGCAATGGATGATGAGAACTGTAGCAGTCTGTGTGGTGTGAGAGTCAATGTAGTGAGTGTGTGACCTCTGGTGGTGAGTGAACGGAAGTTCATAGACTGGATTCGTGACAGGTATAGTGTATAATGTTACAAAAGCTTTTTATTTCATATAAATGCTGATCTTTGGATCTTTCTATTCATCAAAGAATCCTGAAAAAAAAATGTACTCAACTGTTTTAAATATTGATGATAATAATAATAAAAATGTTTCTTGAACAGCAAATCAACATATTAGAATGATTTCCGAAGGATCATGTGACACTGAAGACTGGAGTAATGATGCTGAAAATTCAGCTTTGATCACAGGAATAAATTACATTTAAAAAAATATTTAAATAGAAAGCAGCTGTTTTAAATAGTACAAATATTTCACTATCTTACTGCTTTATTTTGGATCAAATAAATGCAGGCTTGGTGAGCAGAAGATAATTATTTAAAAATCATTAAAATTCTTACTGTTCAAAAACTTTTGACTGGTAGTGTGTGTCTGTTTCAAAATGCAAAAAGAGGTCTTATTCAGTGGGGATTGTCAGTAAGAGTAAACTTAGTTTCCTTGTTAGGAGCATTTTCCTGAATGCAGTTTTTCTATATAACTTTTCCCAGGCAATTAACTATTATGAGGCGGCGCTGAAGAGCGGGCAGCAGAATTTTCTGCGTTATGACTTGGCTGACCTGCTCATGAAGCTCAGACAGTACGAACGCTGTGAAAAAGTCCTGCAAGAGGCTCTCACACATGATCCTGGTGAGAAACAGTTCAGAAATTCTCAAGTTATTGTGAAATGGGGGCATCTCACTTCAGTCACCCCTAAAAAGAGATTTTTTTATTAGTGCTTCATTCAAATTGAACTTAAAGTGCTGTTTTAAAAAAAAAATTAGTGGAGATTTGAGCTTGTTTAGATTTTGTCCGTGATGTTTTTAAGTATGATAAGGGATAAAATGTGTGTTTAAGCAATAAAGAGGAATACTGCATGTCTGCTGGGTATTTTCACTTGTATTTTACACTATATTTACTATACCTTAGAAATGCTGAATTATATGTTTCAGGGTGTGTATTCAACAACATGTCACATGACTGACAAGTTAAATCAGGACTGTCAGAAAAGTCCTTTGGGTGTGTCATGGGAGAACATGGGTGTGCACATTTGATTGATGTTTGGAAGTTGGTTCAGCTTAATGTAATAAAAATAAATTGTGTAATACACAGTGCAGTTGCTTTTCTTCAAGTGCGACAAGTTGCGTCTTTTTTTCTTTATTTTTCAGTGAATGAACTGCCGCTTCTTACCGAAGATTGTCGCTATCTTGTGCTTCTCGCCAAAGTCCAGAGCAAAGTCAATAAAAATGATGAAGCGCTACTGTCCTTACAGAGAGTGAGTTGAGTGTCTTTCTCTCTGAAACAGTGTTGTTATTGTTAGCTAAAACTATTTAAAAATTAGTTTTAGTAATTAAAGTGCCCCTATTATGGTAATGAAAGGTTCATATTTTGGTTTTGGGAGTTCCCAACAATAGGTTGACATGCATGCAAGGTCAAAAAACACTTTCATTGTCTTATAATATGCATTTATTTTTACCTTACTTGCTCAACGATTCGCTCAACGATTCATTTTCCCAAACCCCTCCTTTGCGTGACGCTAATCTGCAGTGATTGGTCGATTTAATTTCCATTTCATAATAAAAGCTGTGTTTGTGAGCGCAGTGCTGCTTTGTTTACAGCCGTTACTGGGGAAACCGCTATTTTAATGCTCCAAAAGCGGCACCTAGTGGCAAAGAATGAATTTGCATTTTCATTCAGACCAACACGAAAAGACCAACAAGTGGGCGGGCAATATGCTAATGTTTCATGCTAAAATAAACTTTTAATAGTAGATGAAAAACTTCAATTTAAAAACTTTTAGAAATGTAGTCTTTGCAAGTAACTGAAATAAATAAGTTTAAGTACTAAAATTAATAACAAATTTATTTTTATTTTTTGTGTACCAATTTTTATTTTAGTCTTGATTGATTGAGTTGGTTAGTTAGTTAGTTAGTTTTATGGTAATGAGAACTGGGAGGAAAAATATGTTAAGTGTCATGAAAATATTTAAGCAAATCATTATAATATATTATATTATATTATTATATTAATACTGAAAATGTAATATTTTATGGAGATTTATTTATTCTACTAAATAAACTAAATATAAAAATAAAATAAATATTAAAAATAGAAATATATGGAAGCTAATTAGAAATTAGAATTCAAAACAAAACCGAAAAATGAAAAATTACTGAAATGTAAACTAAAAATAAAATGTAAACTTAAAATATAAAAATAAAAGCTAATTCAAAATATCAATTAATCGTATATTAATAATGCTAAAAAAATACTACTCTGAAAGCATCCAAAAGCTCACCTCAAACCCACACAGCACCAATTTACATTCACAACCTCCTAAATTTACTAATTTATATTTCATGTAGTATACAAAGTATATAACTAAACATACTTTGGAGGGTGAGAAAATGCTGACAGAATTCAAGTTTTCAAGGTGAAGTGTTCCTTTCATTTCATGCCCAAAGCAATTGTTTGAATTGTTGTGAAATTGTTCTTCCTCCTCAGGCCAGAGATGTGCAGGCGAAGGTTCTGAAGCGCGTTCAGCTGGAGCAGCCCGACTCGGTGTCCGCGCAGAAGCAGCTCGCCGCAGAGATCTGCAGCGAAATCGCCAAGCACTGCAGCAGCCAGCGCGGCTACGAACGAGCCGTCAAGTTCTACAAAGAGGCGCTTGTGTACTGTGAAAGTGACAGCAAGGTCAGTGTGGCCCGGATCAGTGAGTCCAGTGTGTTCCTCTGCAGCTGGATCTGTCCATGTGTGGTGCTGCATTTGAACACGGCACAGGCCTGCATTTGACTGCAAACCATCACAAATCAATCTCTCCATAGACCATATTAAAAATGCCTTCCAGTTATTAAAAAAGGTATTTACAATAAATATATACTACATTAAATATTATTAAGTAGATGATGTATTTGTGTATATTAACTAGCTGCTGTGTGTGGTGAGGATTAATGTGGGATAATTCATTGAAGTACACACTTTGCAAATCAAAGGCGCTTCACCTAATTTTCTTTTCTTTTTTTATTTGGAACTGGATTGACACAAAAGCACAAAAATTTATTTCATCTTGATTTCAAAACAGTATAAATAATACTATAAAATTGGCAGTCATGACCAAAACCAAAACTTAAACTGAAAGTAAAATTAAAACAAAAAATTGTTATTTAAATGTTAACTAAAATAAAATATAATATAAAAACCTTTTATTTCAGCTAGTTCCTAAGGCAGTATGTCTCCTTTTTATTTAGTTTAACATGATTTACTAACATAACTAAAACTAAAATCAAAGTAAAAGTGTGCATAAACTATATAAACATGCATTAATCTACTAAAAATGCTGAAAAAAAAAAAATTACTGAAACCGTAACAAAAATTACAATGAAAAATAAAAATAACATTTGATTCAAAATATGAATAAAAACTGTAATAGTACCTCAATTATACTAAAATAACACTTAAATTAACTTAAAACACATTTATATTAAGTTGTCGTTAAAATGAAAATAAATAAATAATATTGTATACATTTCTTTTTTTATATTATTTATTATTATTTTTTTAATTCACACTTAAGCACAGTTTACATTTGTCAACAAAGCTAATTATAAGCATTCAAGTACAGTACATTTACATTCATGCATTTAGCAGATACTTTAATCCAAAGTTACTTAAAGGGATAGTTCACCCAAAAATGAAAATTCTGTCATCATTTACTCACCCTCATGTCGTTCCAAACCCGTATGAGTTGCTTTCTTATGTCGAACATAAAAGAAGATATTTTGAAGATTGCTGGTAATCAAACAGTTGGTGGTTGCCATTGACTTCCATAGTAGGAAAAAAAATACTATGGAAGTCAATGGCAACCACCAACTGTTTGATTACCAGCAATCTTCAAAATATCTTCTTTTATGTTCAACATAAGAAAGCAACTCATACAGGTTTGGAACGACATAAGGGTGAGTAAATGATGACAGAATTTTCATTTTTGGGTGAACTATACCTTTAAGGCAGTGGTCACCAACCTTTTTAGGCCCAAGATCCCTGACCTCGGCCTTTATGAAAGACAAAGACTTAAAGGGATAGTTCACCTTCAGTTGGTCCCCACTGACTTGCATGGTGTTTCTTTTCTTTTCCCATACTATGGAAGTCAAAGGGGACCAGAGACTGAGGGTGAACTGGTCCCTTCAATTATGCATCATACACCTTGTTTAAAGTTTCAAAGTCAAAGTCACGTTCAAAGCGAACACTATATAATAGCTAACACACATTTTTAACCATACATTAGTTAAAGGGATAGTTCACCCAAAAATGAAAATTCTGTCATCATTTACTCACCCTCATGTCGTTCCAAACCCGTATGAGTTGCTTTCTTATGTCGAACATAAAAGAAGATATTTTGAAGATTGCTGGTAATCAAACAGTTGGTGGTTGCCATTGACTTCCATAGTAGGAAAAAAAAATACTATGAAAGTCAATGGCAACCACCAACTGTTTGATTACCAGCAATTTTCAAAATATCTTCTTTTATGTTCGACATAAGAAAGCAACTCATACAGGTTTGGAACGACATGAGGGTGAGTAAATTATGACAGAATTTTCATTTTTGGGTGAACTATCCCTTTAAAAGCATGTGCCAAATGAATAAATGTTTTTTTGGTTGTTCTTTTTTTTTTTTTATGTGCAAGTTAATAAATGTAAATTTTTTTAAATGCATGCATTAGAATGCATTTAAATAAAAAATGCATGCAAATAAAAATGTGAAACTTTTTGACAGAATATAATGATTCTTTTCAAAAGCAGCAGACGTTTCAGGGTCCCCTGTGAACAGCTGTGCAAGTAAATGTGTGTGTCTGCGTGTTTGAGCAGGTGATGTTGGAACTGGCTCAGCTGTATCTTACTCTGGATGATGTCGAGGCCTGTCAGCAGCAGTGCAGTGCCATTCTGAAGAACGATCCGGTCAACGAGTCGGCTACACTGGTCAGTTTCCTTAAACAGATGCTCCTCTCTCATAACCTCATACCAATGGACCAGTCCTTTCATTTTCTCATTCATTTTCTCCATAGAAATTGATTGATTGAACTTTTTCCAAAAAGTTTTATTTTTTTAAATTCAGTTATGTTAAGATATTTTTACACTAAAACTTGAATATTCTCCCACAGCTCTATTGTTGTTTTTGTTTTTTTTTCTTTTCTTATAGCTTTGCTAGGCAGATATGTGGTGAACTTCTCTTCTCTGTGTTTGTTAGATGATGGCAGATCTTATGTTCAGGAAGCAGGACTATGAACAGGCTGTATTTCACTTCCAGCAGCTCTTGGAAAGGAAACCAGGTGTGTCGTTCATCTCCTGACCTTTCAAATTATTACACCGTTGTTGCAGCAGCCCCCTCAGCTTTCCTTCCAGATACTTGTCTGAAACGCAGGGGAAACCTAAGAAACCAGGAAGCTGTAATGAACTCATTTAATCTCTTCCCCTAGACAACTACCCGACGCTGTCCCGCCTCATTGATCTGCTGCGCAGAGCCGGCAAACTGGAGGAGGTTCCAAGATTCCTCGAGATGGCAGAGAAACACTCGTCGAGGGCCAAGTTTGAGCCTGGATACAACTACTGCAAAGGGCTCTACCTGTGGTATGAATATAAAACATGAAATAGAGGGTTATGCTTTATGATGGTAATATAAGGTTTTGTGAACCCCCGCGGGGTTCATTAGTTAATGAAAGCTAATATACTAAATCATATAATTTGTTTTTTAAATTATGAATTAATTTTAATTTTACAGTCAAAATAATACACTTCATAAACGAGTTACATTTTATTTGCATACCTTTGTGTCATGTGACCATTAACTGACTTCAGAGAACCATGAACATGCGAAAAGTATTGAAATATTAACTTAAAATTTCAGGGGTTAGTAAATATTTTATGTCAAAGGGGTCAGTAATATATTAATTTTTAAAGAAAATAATATTTTTTTAAAGAAGTGACATAAATTGTTCAATAGTGACCATAAAGACCTTTACATTGTTACAAAAAATGTATCAGTTATTATATATTCACAGCATACTATATAAAGCTGTTCAAAATGGGAAATTAATTAATTCTTTTATTCAGATATATGCATTAAATAATTCAAAAGTGACAGTAAAGACATTTATAATATTGCAAAACATTTTATATTTCAAATAAATGCTGTTCTTTTGGACTTTCCATGTAACAAAGAATTCTTTATCCTTTAAAAACTAAAATTAAAAATCTGTATACATTATCGTGATTTCCACAAAAATAATAAGCAGCACAAATTTTTTCAACATTGATAATAATAATGAATGTTTTGAGCAGCAAATCAGCATATTAGAATGATTTCTGAAGAATCGTGGAACATTTTAGCATTTTGAAATGTATTCATATAGAAAACAGTTACTTGAAATTGTAAAAAATTTCACAGTATTACTGACAACATCGTTTGCGAATTATTTCTCTGGAATACTTGATTGTGATTAGTCATATGCATATGATAAATGTATGACATCAGTCTTAGCTTTTGATTGCTGAATTGAATGCAATAAGGACATGAATGTTGATCTGCTTCTCAAAGGTACACTGGTGAACCTAACGATGGGTTACGTCACTTTAACAAAGCCAGGAAGGACAACGACTGGGGCCAGAACGCAGTGTACAACATGATTGAGATTTGTCTCAACCCTGACAATGAGACCATAGGAGGAGAGGTGTTTGAGAACCTGGATGGAGACGTGGGGTGCGTCCTCAAGATGGATCCCATTAGTGTCCTTTATTCTGTATATGCTGTATTGCACACATGCACTTTCACAAATGATGCATTTCATTTGTTTGTGTTCAGAAACTCTACAGAGAAGCAGGAGTCGGAGCAGCTGGCCGTGAGAACAGCGGAGAAGCTCTTAAAGGAGCTGAAGCCACAAACCCCAGCGGGACACGTACAGCTGCGCATCCTGGAGAACTACTGCTATCTGGCCACCAAACAGAAAGCCAACGTGGAAAGAGCTCTCAACGTGTTCATTGAGATCGCAAACAGTGAGGTGTGTGGACATCACATGATGGATATGTTAAATACACACACACCTACACATGCACACCGCTTTTGTATATGCCTGAATCACTCCTTCAAGACAAACTTAGACTTGAGTTCAGAATATTTATTTAGAAACAATGCATTAAATTGATCAAAAGTGACAGGAAACACATTTATAACATCTATAAATTCAGATTCAGGAATAAATTACATTTTAAAACATTCAAATAGAAAACAGTGTTTTAAATTGTAATAATATTTCACAATATTACATTTTTTACTGTATTTTTTTATTAAATAAATGCAGCCTTGGTGAGCATAACAGGCTTCTTTCAGAAACATTAAAAAAAAATCTTACCAACCTCAAACCTTTAAAGGGATAGTTCACCCAAAAATGAGGGGGGGGGGCAAGTTAGTTAGTTTAGTAACTAACATTACTAAATTGTTAGTAATGGAATCCCTGATCTCGGCCCCGCTGCAATTGGAGCGCTTAGCCAAGCGCTAAATACCCTCACCGTGTTTTTGCAGCGTTGAGCAATTTAGCCAATCACAGACATACCTGTTGATTTCTTGAACGCAATGGCCAATCAGAAACGTTTTGTCAGAATTCACTCACCGCTGAAAGCGCCGCAGTTTTTTAAGTGCAGTTTTGCACGCTCGTGAATCATCTCATGACTTAAGTGCAGACGTGATGTAAATAAGAGGTTCATTGTGCAGTTTAGAGAGCTTCATTGATTATAACGGAACTTTGTGAGATCGCGATGAACGAAGATGAGTGACGCTTTTTAGTGATAAAGGGAGCGCGCTTTGCGCACTTTCTAGGGTATAATACATTCAGAATTTGTATTAAACTTTCGTTTTCCAGACACATAGGCTACACCCTGCAAAGTTTTGGGAATGACATCTGCATATTTATGCGGGATTCACTCTCGAAATAGCAGTGATTGGCAATGGACGGAACATAAAATATGTTGATTTAATCCGGTCCTGGCCCTGGCCAAACCTCCACAGACAGC